TATCCAAATATATTTGTATTCACAAATCACTATTTTATTAATATTACAATTCAACTATCTATTTATATAAGTATTATTAAATATAAACATTTGACATTTGATTGAACCACAAATATAAGTATAATGAATTGAACCACAAAAATCACTCCTACAATCATACAAAAGGATCTTGAATTGGAAGAAATTGAAGAAAATATAAAAAAAAATATGTAATATAAGGATATTGATGAAAGAGAAGGTATGAATACATAATTAATTATGAGTTTAATAATAATTTTTCTAGTTATTATTTATTTATATTAAATATAAAAAAATTAATTATTGATATATAATTAAATTTGCTATTTATTGTATAGTTACAGTCATATAACATAAAGAAAGTTAAACTATAACTATATTGTAACGACCTGTTTAGTCGTTTTGAGCAGCAGATTTTAATTCTGGAAAAGCTGTCTTGGTCGACGGACCCCACGACGGACCGTCGTAGGCACGACGGACTGTCGAGGGTGTCTCGTTCCAAAATACTTAGAATTCTGAAAATTGGGTACTGAAATCGACTCTCTAAACTTCGTGACGAAGTGGCAGGACGGGCCGTCACAGGTATGACGGGCCGTCACAGACTCTTCAGTAAATTTCAGTCTCTGAACTCTGTGACGGAAGCAGCAGGACGGACCGTCGCAGTCATGACGGCCCGTCACAGACTGCGTAATCCCAGGCTGAGTCGGATTTCTTTAAATGTTTTTAAGGGGCGTTTTGGACCAGTCCTGCTTATACTTATAAAGTTGCTGGTTGAATATTAATAATCCAATTTCTTGAGGGTTACAGGAGATAGCCTTAAATTAATTAGTGGGTTATTTTTTCATCTTTTATACTTAATTATATGTTAATTAGGGTAAAAGAAAGAGGGTTTGAATAAGAAAAATAAAAAGAACAAGGAGAGGGAAAGAGTATCGATCGATCGAGAGAGGAACGAAGGGGAAAACGAAAAGGCTTGGGAAATTGCTTGCTTGATCACGAACCTTCGGTGGAGGTAGGTTATGATTTTTATACTATTCGTAGTTAACTCTT